GGGGTTCAAATTCATTTTCGGACCCCCCCCCCCCCCCCCCCCCCGGCATCAAACTTACATTTTGTTTTGACCCGCGCCCCCCCCCCTCCTCTTGCTCATGTACTGCTGTTCCCCAATCCTTGGTGCTCGGTGCTGGCTGTCTGTAGTAGTACATTACTTCTTCTATACAATAGTAGATTGTGGTGCTGCGTGTGTGCATGCTTTTGTCCAGCCTTTGTTCCTCACAAGAAGTGGACAACAAACAGGAAAGAGCGCCTCCCGCGACGCGATGTGCTTACATGTACAATGTAAGAGATAACAGGATCGATTTCCTTCATTCATTTTCAAGTCAGGCCAGTTCTTTCATGTCGTATACTCTCTTCTCTTGAGCAATATTGTAATGCGCAACAAGTCGGACCGTTCCCCAGAGATGGGGACTGGAGGAAGCGCACAGCGTATACTACTCGTCGACGCCACAGGTAATGTCGCGGTTAGAACTGCTGTGTCCCGCGCCAGGCACAATGCTGCCTCGCAAGTGCGTGGGGCGCTATTCATCGTCAAAGGAAATTTTGTCACAACTTCAGTCGTCGTTCAGTCCTCGCGCACAGATATCCTCGGATGAGAGTCGGTTTCCTACGCGACGTTTGTGTTCCTGGGCCGGTTGTCTCCATAGTCGTGGCGGGCATCGTGAACGCCAGTGATCCAAGCAGGGCGCAGCCCGTCGGAATCAGTCTCCAACTACAAGGCCCGGCGCGTCGGGATCTTGATTCAAAGACTTCCACAAGATGTTTCCCTCAAAGGGCCGTTTGCTGCTGCTGCTGCTGCTGCGGCTGTCAACATAACCATGTGCCAGAATGAACATTCGCACCCTCGCAAAGAGCAATATTCTCAAACTACAGTCTACAGCAATAGCTATCTTGGACCAGAGGGCAACTTGCGCGTGCGACCGAAGGGCCGAGAAAAAAGCGAGCACCGAGGGCTGGTTGCAGTGCATCCATATTTATTTCTCCTGCTGGAAGTCGCTCACACCAACACTCTAGACTATGGGACGCATCCGAAACGGGAGGCTGGGTATTAAGCAAACATGACAAATCGTCAATAATTAGAACTCGTGCTCGAGGACGGCGAACAAAACTTCTTTCGAGGCTCGGATCTAATCCATCCCTACTTTCGCTGAATCTGCTCTAGGCGAACATCAGGCAAGAGCCCCCTGGCCTCCTCAATCGAGAAGTACGAGTTGCAGACGGGGTTCCTGCTCGTGCACGTCGCACCCCCTACGGAGAGAGCTCTTCGGAACGCCTCTGGCAACTCCTCGCCTCGCGTCCACTCGTACAGCGTCGCCGCGGCCACCGCATCTCCCGCCCCGATCGGGTTTACGGCGTCCACCGGAGCGGGGGTTACTCTGCACACAGAACGGGACCGGAGATGAAAATAAATAGGGTCGAGGCTCAGTTTATTATTTCATCGCCACTGCTGTCGACAGGGATAAACACGAAATTCGCGGGGAAATTGCATAGGGACTGTTGAAGATCGGAAAAGGGTCAAAGTCTGGGAGCGTCCAAATCTGTGCCAAGAAAAACATGCCGACCGCCGATGGTAGCCCTCTGCCCCGCAGAAACACAGCCTTTCCCGCCAAAAAGCGCTTTGCTTGTACGCGAACACTCCATCGCGTTTCGTCTTGGGTTTTTACTTCTGCGAGCGTTCTACTATGCATCCCACCAAGGTCAAGCATGATTGACGAAACGCCCCGCCTCCCCGCCCCCCCCTCCCTTGGGCAAGCCATGCGGCAACAGTATAAAATACCTCCAAAACGAGCTCAAGGATCCGTCCTCCCCAAGGAACTCTCGGCTGAAGAGGTACGATGGAAGACCCCCGTTCGTCACCGCGATCCACGGCAAACGGCCCTCGTGCCGCACGAACAGCTCCGCCGCCGCCATCGCCAGCTTGTCTTCCATCCACACGGACACGCCTCCCCCCCCTTCTCCCTCGCCATCGCCCTCCCTCCCGCTCTCCGCAAGCGACACCACTTCTTCGGCGTTAACCTATACCACGTGTTAGTAGAGCGGGCGTCAACAAGGCGGAACTGTCAGGAGGGGTCGTCAGGACCACACCACCGCCACTGCTAACAGAAGCAGAAACATTGGTGGGAAAACAGCTGGCTACCCCGAGACTCAGAAAATATGCGTGTATTGCATTGCACAAGGCGGTGAACGGAACGCGAACGGTTAGTCTTCTTCTCGCCCGCTCGAGAGCTGACTGCCGCAGCCGTGCATCTTGCCGAGGAGAGGACGGCAAGAAGCGTCGGACGGAAAAAGAGGTACACACGACTGCCTAAAGCATGGGACCGTGCGGAATGTCGGGAACACCCTTACAGGCGATAAAAAAAAAAAAAAAACGCACGAAGGTACTGCCTGGGGTGTGGCCGTTGCGATAGGTGCACCACGGCTTCGCCGAAACGTCGCATGGCAAGGGCACAACCTTGAACGTTTCTCTACAAATAGGACGTAACTTCATAGGTGTTTCGAACGTGGATACCTGAGACAACAAACTTCATTGAACGGCAGGCCTTCCAGAGTCCAAATCAACGTGTTGGGAGCGTCCCATCGTTTCCTACCTTTAGCAAGCTGATGTGGCCGGTGTCCACGAGAGCCTGGAACCCCACCACGCTATCTACGAGCACACGCGTCTCCGCCCCCTTGAAGCCTGCCGACTCCGTGATCGCGCCCATGATCTACGCAAATGGCGGGCGCAAGAGAGAGAGAGACATTACACACGTCGAGGCGGGCGGGTGTTGCGGTGGTGGTGAGAGACGACACGACGAGATGGTTCAGCGGGCACATCGGACAACGAGAGACTACGAGCTTGACAAAAAAGGAGCAACGGAGAGGCTCTTCATTCCTCGTGCCTAATCGTCTCATCATCGTGAAAGACCGAAAACAAGCGAGGTTTTCTTGCTGCTGCAGGTGCAAGAATGAGCAAAGTCCTGAAAGGACGTGGCGCAAAATCGATGCCGCCAATGCCGGGTCTGTAAGACACTAAAAAAAAAACGTTGTACGGATAGATGCTGACGCGAGAACACCACCGGTTCTCCGCGGGAGTGTGAGCGATTCCGATCGTCCCTTGAGGGAAGAAGGACTGCTGTCAGGAAAAACTGGTGATGCTGTCCCAGCCCGCGAGAAGGTCGTTCGAAAACCTCTCCAACTCCGTTTCGTGTACGGCAAACGAAGGGCACGGGGGCACGGTACCTACGGACACCTCGCTCTAACAGGGCACACGCAGGCAAGGTTCCCTACATCCACGAGCGCGTCCTTGCCCACTCCCACAGGATTGCTCCCCATGATCGCCACGCCGTGGATGCAGGGAACCTCTCCGAACGTCGACTTGCAGTCCGCCAGAAGAACTTGCTGCTCTTCGTCCGTGATCTGGGGAGTGAGTGCCACGACCAGACACAACCGTAGATCCGCCGTCATAACGAGAGGGTCGTCGACTGAATGTAACGGCCTTTTGGGTAAAACATAGCATCAGGGCAGTGAACACAAGGACACAGCAGGTTAGGGGATCCTTGGTTGACAACGCGAACACCCACGACCGTCCGTCCGTAAGCCGAGATAAAAAAAAAAAAAATTGCCGGCCTCGCGTTCGCAGTAACCAATCCCCCGCAGCAAGCAGCGCAGCAAACTGCCGTCGATCGGGATGTTCGCAAGCCACCATGAAAGAAAGAAAAACGGAGGAAACGCGCGTCGTGGCGGTGAACCCTTCGCACCTGTGCGGACCGCCTTCGCGAGAGAATATTAAGCGTTACCTATAATACATGTGAAAATAGAGAGGGGGGCTTCGTAACCCTGACCCTAACCCCCAGCCCAAACGCGTAACCCCTGCTAAAACTACATATATCCTCGCGAAGGCCGCATGCTGCACCTCTGCCGACCAGGGCTCTATGATCTCCGTCGTCTCGCCGAAGCGTTCGTCCACGAGGGAGGTGCATAGCCGCATCTCGGCCTCGGTGGCGGAGGTGACGAGCTTCACGCCCATGGCCGAGAGGTTTTCGCACACAGATTCCCCTGTTTGGGCAGGGTGCAGCGGTTGCGGATTAGGACGCGTGTCGAGGGGAGGCTTCCCCCAAAACAAGGGCAGCGCGGCGATCTTTTGTATTTTGCCTACTGTACATGTTACAATACAAATGCATGCCAAAGACACACACATTGCATTCGCCTGTAAAGCGTGCTGTTGCCCGTGTGGCTGGCGGCAGACTCCAGACTCAATTACAGATATCATCATAGCATTTTGGGGGTCTTGCGCGTGGCGAGCTGGTAGGCGTCTCGTAACATGCGTTGTCTGCTGGAACGAGCGCCGCTATTTACATGATCCACAACGGCGGTGGGCACCAAATACTGCTTTGGAAGGAACACCGTTTTGATGTTGCCGACGGGTTGCTGATGCTGCAGCCGCTGCAAAGTGCCATGCATGTACACCGCCCAACAGCAATCAGGCGCGGCATTCAAGTGTGCATCGTGTCCCTAAGTACCACTTCGCTCTCGCACAACATTACGACCCATCACACACGCCAATATCAACTCCCCATGCCTCACCTGATTTGCCGCCGGCAAAGTGGGCTAGCGTGACATCAACCTCTCTCTGAGCACCATCGTCCGCAACACCGCCGCCCTCCGCAAGAGTTCGAAGCGCGACGCACACGTTCTGTCCCTTGCCTCCGATGCCCGAACCAACGGAGCTCGCCCGATTGACGTCGCCCACGCGCAGGCCCTTCGGGGGCTTGAAGATGATGGTGCGCTGTTGGGCGCCGTTTAGACCCACCACAACGAGCGAACGTCTGTAGTCCTCGCTGCTCCTGTGGCTTCCTGCTGCTGTTCCCGAAGACATGTGCACAACGAAAGCAGGGCGGAGAGGAAGGACAGCGGCAGCCACCAGGGCCACCAGGAGGTAAAAGCTGCTGTTGCGGGTCATCCGGTGCGCACACGGAGGCTTCCTGTGCGTCGCGGCAGTCCGCAGCGACGCTGTCTTAAATGTTGCAAATCGCATGTTGAGATGCGCCGCGTTTTTGTCCCGAACGGGGACATTTTAATTCCAAACGTGCTCTTTTAACTTTTAACAGCACTTGCCTCGTCCCCCCTCTCCGCCCCGACGCAACGAACGGCCAACGGGACGCACGAGGAGAAGATCGCAGCGCCGAGGTAAGAACACAGATGCGTGCGGGCCGCATAATATACCCAGGGCGCTGCTGTGCATTCGTGCGTTTGCCGAACCGATTGTACGCGGGTCCCGCCGGGTGTTGTTGTTCCTTGCTCCTTTCTTGAGACCTTGTGCTGCGAAGCTCAACATCCTCATCGTCCACGCCAACAACGCCGACAAGCCGAGGGCGCCAAGCGTCCACCTTCATCGCCCCACGTGCGTTTGCAACTTTGTCCTCCTCCTCCTCCCGCTGTGTCGTCGTAGAGAACGCAACGCAATGGCCTGCTGAGAGAACATGGAGCATATCACGCCGCCGAGGACCAGAACACCAACAACCAAGCCTGACGAAGGAGCAGCACCGGCAACACCGAGACGAGGTGAGGGCGGGTACATAGAACGGTGTTGAGCCCCCCCCCCCCTCCGTGGGGCGTCGTCAAAGGCAAAGCTGAATTCAGAATTCTCTTTGCTTGTCGAGGTGCTCTGTCTCAACTACGGCTTTCCAACATTGCAGTGCGCACACACACGGGCAGCTGTAGAGCCGTTGTGGTGACCGGTCTGATATGAAGACGCATCGATGCAACACCCAACGCCGACACGACGCGAACGGCCACGCCCACGCACATATATATCAGCAGCAGCACCAGCAGCAGCACCAGCAGCAGGAATTGAAGCAGCAGCATTTCCTGTCGCCCCCACCCGCAGACGACCCTCTTGCCCACTTGATCTGCTGCTTGGTGCGGACTGCCGAGAAGGCGCATGACTGCCTACGGTAGTACACACGTGCGTACAACGCGTAGAGCCGTTGCCGACAATTGCATACTCCTGTGCTACAACAACTGCCGTAAGGTGCGGCCTCTACCACAACGACGACGTCAGCAGGACAAACGAAAAATCACATAATCTCCTGAACGGAATATGCCAGAATAATTACTCCTTCTGTCGCCCGGCTTGCTTCGACCTCTCCCGCTTGCGGATCTGCGTTCCCCATACATACACTCCGAAAACTGTGGCCCTCTATGTACAAACAACCGAACCGCCTACATACGATTTGCTCTCAATTCGATGTTTACTGCAGCAGCAGTGACGCAGCATACCTCCAAATCGTTCTTGGTCCCGATGCAGGCCACCCTACAATACATGATTCTGCCCGCGGGTTCGCGGTGCCGTCCATCATGTGCAAGTTGACCTACAACCGTGCCGGATTTTGAAACTGCCTGTAACCACCTGGGTCTTCTCACGAGACGCCATCTCACCACCAGACGCTATTTAGGGTGGACACCGGCAACAACGCCGTTCGCATTAATATCCTGCCGTCACTGATATTACACCAACAGCACTCTGCTTGCTTGTGTACAATACTCCCTGTGGTTCCGCATGTCCAACGTTGTATGCATGATGCAACAGGTGTTGCATTCCAGGTACCATTTCATGGTAGCACCATTTTTGGGTGTTTGGGTTTCTTCCAACTACCATGGAAGCCACTGGCAGTTTTCCTTTCGCGATTCCCCTGCCTCTTGCTAGCTCTGTGCTGCTAAGACTACATACCGCATGCAACAATGCGAGAGCCCCCTCCCTCCCCCCTCCGTATGTACAACGGCTTCGGTGTTCGGCCTTTAGATAGTACCCGCATGTGGTATCCCGTCGCCTGCCCCATGGTCTCACCCCCTCCACTGAACGCATCTCCGACTCAGGGCCCTCTACGCCCCCTCGCATTAAGCTTCAACACAAGAAGGGCGTGCGGTTCTCTCCCGAAACGCAGAGCGATATTTCTGACCGCCCCCCCCCCAAAAAAAAAAACTAATTCACGCCACGAACAAGCAGCAGCTTCGTCCGAAATTCCGCTCGAGTTCCGGAGCCAACGCGTGAGACACAAGGAGTACAAGCGGCGGGGCCCCCCTTTGAGCAGCCGGTTCGACGAGGCGGACATCGGCGACACGCGCGCTTCGCTGTCGGCAAGGTTTTTCGAGGCTGCCGACGAACCCACATCGGCGTCACCGCCGCCGCCGCCGCCGCCCCCCGCCGCAGGGGCCACTCGGACGAACTTCCCGGAGCGGCGGAACAAGGTACAGGAGGGGGGTTCGAAGAAGGCAACGGAGGCGTCGCCCGAAAGGGGCGGCCGAGCGGCAGAGTCCGCGACAACTGGCGCGGGGACGGCGAGGGAAGAGGGGGGAGCTAGAATAATCGCAGAGGCGGAGGAAGCCACCTCCGAAGGCACAGCGGCGACAGCAGCGACAGCGGCGGCGGCGGCGGCGGCGGCGGCGGCGGCGGCGGGGGCCGAGCCATCTGCCAGCAACGCTGACGCCGGAGAAGCTGCTGCGGCCGCCGGAGGCGGCGGTACTGCGGCTGACGACACCGTGGCTCCGGCTTGCGCTGGGAAGCGGAAGGTGGGGGCGGAGAGCGGACAAGAGCGGAGGGAAGGCGAGTCGGCACACAAGGCCGCGGCTGCCGGCGGCGGCGGGGGTTCCTCCAGGGAAGGTCGGAGGTCGATCGCCGAGGATTGTTCGGACTCAAGGGTGGACACGAGGGGCACGGCGGCGGCGGCATTGAAGCAGGAGGTTAACGCGGACGGGAAGGGGGAAAGGGAGGGCACGCACGAAGGCTACAGCGTAGAGGGGGGGGGGGCGGGCGACAACGGTGGAGCCGACGGTGGCAGAGAGAGAAAAGAGTCCCAACAACTTTGATTGTTGGCTCATGTTGACAAAGGGTATTTAGAGTGGGGATAACGAGAACGAGAAGGAGGAAGACAAGGAGAGGTGGGGGGGTGGGGGTGGGTCGTTATTGAGGGAGTATTTAGAGTGGGAGAACTAGAAGGAGGAGCAGAGGTGGGGGGGTCGGTGAAGGCACACGGACTCAGCAAAGCCGTAGGCATTTTGGTCCAACCTGGAGGAATCGAACGGGAGGGAGAGATTAGCAGGCAGCGGTCGCTGGAGTATTTACCTGTATTTCCACAGGGTGTAAGCCCCCGCGGGGGAAGAGAAGGGAGGGCGGGGGCGACCGCGGGGGGGGGGGAGGCGGTGTTCCACGAAGAGCCGAAGCAGCTCACCAATAGCAGCAGCGGCAGCGGCAGCGGCAGCGGCGGCTGCCGTCGAAGCTGCGCTAGGCAGAAGAAAGCCGGAGCGAGAGTGAGCACGCTGGAAGCAAGGAAGCTCTCGAGCCCAAACCATCAGCAAAACGCCGGCGACGACGAACCTCCACACCCTCTCCAAAGTAAGCTCGAAATAAAAACATGCCAATGCTGGCGGCGGTTGCCGAGACCGACGAGGCCGTCGGCTCGGACGACGCAGGCTGGCCTCCTTCGCCTTACGGGGCGTCGCCGGGGCTGGCCGGCGCACCGCGAGCCACCCCGGACTACGCCCGGAAGACCTGGAAGGCTTATCACGAACGGCAAGCCCTGTTGGCGGGACGGCGGCAGTACTCGAGGCCCGTGGAGGTGGACCCCGTCGTGTGGGGGGACCTGATAGGGAAGAAGCTCGCCGAGCTGATCGAGGGGGAGAGGAACCACCCGCGCAGCGTGGTCCGGGGCGGGGCGGCGGATAGGGACGGGGGGCACTGCCTGCTGCCAGGTGTGGCGGATGTGTCTTGGTCTGTCTTGTGTGTGTGTGTTTTTTTTTTTTTTTTGTGGTGGTGGCGTACGTGATCGCCGCCGCCCCCGACGTGCACTGAGATCCTGCTCAAGCAGAGGAAGCCAACAATTAATAGGTGCTTTGTCGCGCGCGTGTACACTGGGTTTGTCTGGGTTCGGCTATGCGCACCCGAAGGGTTGTTGCCCATGCCTTTGTCCAGCGTAGGTTCGGTTGGCCCTCCAGGACGCTATCGCCGCCTGGGGGTACCGACTTTGTGATATGCCAGTTCGGTGCGCCGCGTCTTCGAACGCGCAACAAAAGTGCGCCATTTTTCGTCATTTTGCCGCGGACATTGTTGTAGTAGTAGTTGTTGTTGCTGGCTGTTGTTGCCGGCTGCTCGGTTTTCGCCTTCTTCTGCCTGACGGGGCGCGTGTTGACAAGCACCTGGCCGTTTCTGTTTCCTTTTATCGTGAAGTGGACAGCTTTGCAGAGCAGTCCGTTCGCGGTAAAACCATGCAATAATGTACAATGTCTCCGTGCACGCTCGGTGTGTGTGGATAACCGGGTATTCGAAGGCGCGTGCACGCCACAGCCGGCGGTTGTATCTCGTATCCGAGTTTGCAACTCTCCCCCCCGAACCTGCATATTTGCTTTCAGAGCTGGATGACATTCACTTGCACAGCGGGCACGAGCAGGCCGTGGCGGCGGCGGTGGGCAAGCCTAAGTTTCTGCGCTTTTCCGCGGAAGGCTCCGAGTACACGGCCGACGACTTCGGCGCTGGCGGGGGCTTCGACGAGATGTACCAAAGGTGAGAAAGGAGGCGAGACACAGGAGAGGACGGGGAGGACCCTTCCCCTCCTCGTGGAAGCGTGTTCAGACGCGCCTCCACTCACGAACCTCTTGTTTTTTGGCTAACGTGAGGTTTTGTTGCTTTTTTTGTCTATGGGGTAGACTACCCCCACGGCCACTGGTGTATAGGTCTTGGTGTAACTATATAGGTTATATAGTGTGACTATTTAGGTTTTAGTGTGACCATATTGGTTTTAGTGTAGGCTTCTTGACTGAGCACCTGTTCTTACGGCCAAGTTCTTAGACTTGTTTTTTTTTTTTAGGCTCCAGTTCTTTCCTGTTAAGTTCTTAAGTGGTGCCGCGTTCTATGGTGGTGCGGTGACACACTTGAATCGAAGGGGGACGACATCCGTCCTCTGGATGGGAGGTGGGCGAGGCCTACCCCCAACAAAGGACTGACTGGTTGAACTTAAGCGGTTGGGGCTTTCCACGCCCTTGTGTCCCATATGTCGGCCGCACGCTCCGATGCTGTTTACATGTTTAGTTGAATCCTAGTCCACAAACGTGTCTCTGCCCTCCCTGCGATTTGTGCTGTCCATGGAGATATGGGTTTTACGACGCTCGACGGTATTCCCGGGTTGGTTGTGGTTGTTTTGCGCCAGTTCCCACTATGGTTGTGTGTGAGTGTGTTTTCTCTATCTCTTCCCCTGTTTCGCGCGGATTACTTGCCCCCCCTTGTTTTTCAGACGGTACGGTACGCCGTTTTTTTTTCTTCTCTTAATCCTCTCTTCGTTTCCCGCGGATTACTTGCCTTTTTTTCCCAGACTGTTGGACGTTTTTCTTTCTCTTGTCTCCCTCTTCCTCTGTTTCCCGCGGTTTACATGCCCGATTGTTTCTGCTTCGCATTTTGTTTTTAGACGGTACGCCGGGTTTAGCCCGCTGATCAAACAAGCCGGGGGCCTCGCGGCCAAAAGAGCGAGGTCGAGAGCGGGGTACCCCGACGACCAGGTGGAGAGCTATCGCGAGAGGAGGTCGAGGGTGAGTGTTAGGAGTCGAGTCGCGGCCTTGCAGGCGTGGAACTCGTGTGTTGTGCATTTATTTTCCCGTTTTTGTTTGCTCATTGATTACTGTGCGTGGTTGTCTGTCCCTCCGTTGATGTCTACTGCCGAGCTCACGGATGGGCGGCTTGTAGACTTGCAGACAGGGCAGTGCATGGGGAGTGAGAAGTGCTTTGGTTGAGTTTGAGGATGGGAAAAGGTGGGGGGAATAGAGCAGGTGATCGGTGTCGGTGTACTAGTGGAGCGGTGTTCGGCGAGACGCGCGGCCGAGGGTGGCGCTTACAGTACTGTTCATGTTTGCTTTAAGTTTTGTGGGCGTTTGTGGAATGCAGCACTTTTAACCTTACACAAGGGTCGCGTAGCGCTTGCTTGGTGTGCCGAGGTCATTCCGTGTGTGCGGCGGCTTTGGAGAGCGTTCCAGACGTACCAGCATGTACCGGAGGCGCTAGCAGCGTGTACATACCCCGTGGGGACCGCAGTATCGCACTACGCCCTCCTGTGTACCTTAACAGCGTTGCTCGAAACGGTCTCTGCTTACACGAGACACAAATATGTTGGCACATATTCCGATCGACCGGGCACCACCGAAACAAAACCAAGCCCAGCTTCCGGCCGGTTGCCCTCCAAAAGACTTGAGCACATCCCTTTCAACTGCTGTGGCATCTCGAACGGGTAGTCTTTCTGTGTTTTTGTGTACATTTTCTACAAGATAACTTTAGTTTTTGCCGCTGCCTGCCTGCGCGCCTGCTTGCATTCCTGCCTGCAGGAGAAGACCAGCCGCGAAGCCGAAGCTATCCCTTGGGACTTGGGCGCAGCACGAGCGGCCGCCCCGTCCACCGCGGCGGCGGCCCAAGGCGGCGGTGACGGAGACGACGGCGGCGGCGGCGGCGGCGGCGGCGGTGGCGGTGGTGGTTGGAGTGGCGGCCCAGGCGGCGCGATCGGCGGCAGCGGGTTCGGGGATGACCTCTTCGCGGGGGACGCGGCGGCGGTACTGCAGCAGTCCGCAGAACAGCAGGAGAACAAAAAGTGAGTGGGTTGGTGTCATTTTTTTGACGCCGCCATGGGCAGCACAGCATGCACGAGACGGATACACCCAACAACAGCAGTTTTAAACTTCAATGTCCCTGTCTTCACGTGCTGACCTCAAGGCCGCCGCCTCCAGTTTTTAGGAGGCGTCTTCTTTGTTGCTTCTTGTTCAACATACCCCTCTATCACGTGCTGACCTCAAAGCCACCGCCGGCTACCGCCACCGTCGCCGCCTCCGGATGCACACATCAGCAGTTTTTTAGAGTGCATCTTCTTTATTTTCCACATCCCTCTCACGTCCTGACCTCAAAGCCGCCGCCTCACGTGTGCCCCTCCCCCCTGTACGACAAACTCGCGTGTCCGATGCTGCAGCGACGGACAACGCCCGGATGCTGATCTGGAGGCGCATCCGATTCCTCACATCGGCCCCGACGCCCACCGCTTGCTCCCGGACGAAGTGGAAGCGGTGCTCAGGGGGCACGCGGAGGAGAGCGCGGACGGGTACGACGCTTCTTTCGCCGCACAGATGCAGCACAGGTGAAGATACCTCCGCTCTTTCAAACGCGGTGTTTGGTTTTGTGGGGGGGGGTAGGTTGGTTGTCGTGCTGGTGGTTGGTCTAGTGTGTCTTGTGTGGGGGTAGGTGGGTGGTCGTGGTGACTGATGATGGCGGGATCGTGGGTTTTCTTTCGCGGGCCACGTGCACACGCGGTGTTGTGTGGTGGGTATGCAGTACACCGATGCGCTTTGTGCGGTAACGGCTGTACGTTCGGGGAAGAGCTGGGTGAAACGGGCTCGGAGTGCCCGGCATGCGAACCAACCCCTCAGCGTCGCGTGCCCCTTGTGGTGAGCTACTAATGTCGTGAGAAAGGAAGCCATATAGTAGGGAGCGTCCAATAACTGGTGTGCGTGCGCTACTTGCAGTCTGTCCCTCTCACACCGGAACGATTGGGAATCGGTGATCTATCCCGTGGGGAAACAATCCTCCGTCTTCTCGAGGACGCGCGGTCAAAAATCTAACACACGCAAAACACAAGAGTACGCCCCCTTCCCCACCCCCTATCCACTCCGCGGAACCACTCTAACAGGTTGGTATCGGTTGGAGGGAGCGCCGAGGGGATGAAGCTTCGGGGAACCGCTGCCCGAGAGCGGCGGGAGCGTGCTCGACTTGGACTGAAGGACCGATACCTGGAAGAGGCCGTGCGCAGGCAAGAGCGCCGTAGCCGTATAGCACCGGCCAAGGTGGAAAAATGGAGGTGGTGCGCGCGTGTGGTTGCTTCTAACGTTGAGCCTGTAACTTGAGTTCTTGCCGCACAAAAGATTTGGACATATATATATATATATATCCCATCGTCATCACTAGCAGCTGGGTGTTTCTTCGGAGCACGTCGTTGCGTGTCTGGGGGGTGAGAATATTGTAGCGTGTGCGGGGGGCGGACGGTGCGGCCGTTCGCCCATCGTCATCCCCGCGGAAGACCAACCGCGTGCGCCTGTTGCCGGTGTGCTAGACCAAGACCGCCGTGAACGCTGATGCTTGGCTGTCTCGGTGCATCTGCTGCCGGTGTTTCCCCGTTTGTTTTCTAGTGTTTTTTGCATGTAACACTCGAGTTTTGTGACAAGACCAGCCGACCATGTTGTATTGCCAGCATCACCACAGCAATCTACTGTGTGCGTGGTGGGGTGCCAATGCTCACGCGAAGGCAAAGCATGACACGAATGTGCGACGAGGAACTTGTTTCGATGGGGGAAAACAACAGCACCTGCCTAGAAAGACAGACGTAAAAAAAAGTACCACCTCTTTCCACGTCTTTCGATACCTCTTTCGATACCTCTGATAACATGGGGGCTAACCTTACAACGTTCGAAACCGCGCGCCGTCATCCCCATGAACATGTATCAGGAACCACCGCGCCGCCTCCCACGGCTATGACGACGAAGACGACGACGACAACGCCAGCACCTCCTGCTCCGTTGCCACGTTCGAAGACTTCTACATCAAGTCGACCCAGGCCGCGGACGCTCTGCCCGTCGTTGAGGGGAGGATGAACGCGGAGGAGACTAAGGGTGCCTCGATGGAGGCACCGCCGCCGCCGCCGCCGCCGCTAGCAAAAGTTGAGGAGGTGATGCCTTCTCCGGAGGAGGCGATCCGGAAGCAGCAGAGGCGAGAGGAACGGCGAGCCGAGCGCGTGGCGAGGCTGGAGCTCAAGCGGGAGCAAGCCAGAAGGTACGCACGCAATGCGCGTACCGTGTGTGTTCCGGTGGTGTAGAGGTTGTTGGGGGGGGGGGGTCGGGGCATGCTAGAGGAGAGGTTGGGAAAAGTTTTTTTTTTTTGCGTTGCCCGATGCAAGAATGCAGACGTTGTTTTATCGAGCGGAAGATCGAGGAAGTTGGTTTTGCGGCGTTTCTGCTGTCCTCTTTCCGTCGGACATGGCGTCCGTGGTATGTGGAATTTTCGCTGTTTTGCGCAGGGTGTGATGAGTCTTGCCCCTCCCGGTGGGAATAGAGCACGTGATTGTCGAAAAGAACGCGGGTTTAGCTTTTGTAAAGCGAAAAGGTAAAAAAGCGCTGCTCTTGCTTTTTGGGACACACACTCTCTCAGCTTCCTGTGGCCCCTTCGCTGTCCAAAAGACCATCTCCTTTCTCCTCCCCCCCCTCGTTGGCGTTATACATTTGCCTCACTCACCCCTCAGGGGCACGACGAGCTTGGACGGCAGCAGCATCAGTACCGACCCCCCCGGCGCCGAGACGAGCCTAGACGGCGGTCCCCCCAGCGGCGAAATCCTGGTCCTCCTCCCGCGGCGCAAGACCGGCGGCGGCGGCGGCGGCGGCGGCGAAGTCGGCGACCCCGAAGACGATGCCAGCCTCGACCCCAGCGTGAGCAGCCTCGGGACGTACGACGAGCGCAGCCGCGGCGGCAGCGGCGGCGGTGCGCCTCGCAACCTGCAGAACCTCCAAGAACCAACAAGCGCAACGACTACCGGCGGCGGCGGCGGCGGCGGCCCGCTTCCCCCGGCCGCGGATCTTGTCGAGGAACGACGGCGGCGGCCGCGGCGGCGGTCCAGGCTGGCCGATATTCCCCCGACCCCTCCGAGCCCTACCGCCGCTTCTGTGAGCACCGGCGGCGGCGTCCAGAGCGCGGTTCTTTCGTACTCCACAGGTGACGTCCCAACCGGCAGCGGCGTCGGTCTCGACGGGGGGGGTCTGGCGGAGCGGGGGCGAAATCTATCGCGGCTAGGGATCGCCTTCGGCGGCGCGAGCAAGAGGAGGCGATCGCGCGGCGGCGGCGGCGGTAGCAGCATTGGAGCAAGCGGGGCCGCTTTGGCACCTTTGGGCCCCGCAGCGAGTGGCTCTTCAATAGGGCTGCAGCCACTGGCACCGGCGACCATTCCAGCGGTTGGTATCGATGGCAACGGCACATCATCAACCGGCGCCGTTATCGCCCCGACCGTGGCACTGCTCAAGGGCAAGATCAAAGGGTGGCGGCGGCGGAAGCTAAGCGCCGCGCCAACGGTGCCCCCTCCGCTCTCCGCTACGCTGACACCGGTCGTCGACGATGACCGGCGATTATCCCGGTGGTCTAGCCGTGCCTCTGCTTCGCCGGGCGCTCTCCTCCCGCTAGTCGCGATGGCAGACGGGGGCAGCGGCGGCGGGGGCGCTCCGGTGGCGGGCGATGTAGCGCCGGCGGCCGCCGCGGCGACACTGCCACCGCCGATGGCTTTGATCCCGGTCAAGGTGGGCACGATGGACGGTGAAAGGACGCTGTCGGACTCGCAAAGCGCCAGTAGCTCCCTGGCAGGCTCAACACAGGCGGCGCTGATTTCGGGAACCGTTGACTCGGGAACAGTCTCTAGAACGGTCTCCGAAACACCTACTCTGGGGTCTAAGGCGGAGGGTTCAGTGGCCGGCGGCTCGTCGGCGACGGCGACGGCGACAGCGGCACCGATAGCGGGAGGAGTTCCGGGCATGGGGCAGGCGGGGGCGGGAATGGACGGCGGCGGCGGCAGTGCGGCGGCAAGGGGGCGGTATGACGTTGGCGATCCGCAGATGAACAGGGAGAAACGCCGCAGCGGCCGCAGGAGCGGCGCCGATAACGGCGGTAATACCCAACGGGTACACAAGATCAACCTGGGGAGCAAGAAAGATCAGATGGTATGCATACGTGGTTGTTAACTTTTGTTTTTTGCGTGTGAAGACCCTAGGGCTGGTTCGCGTCTCTCCGAGTTGTTGAGCCCCGATTGGCGATCACCGTTCTTACGGTACAGCTCGCCAAAGTAGCGATCGTGTTGTTGTGTACGGTGGCATCGGACAGCCGAAAGTATTTCTTATTCGGGGATGGATCGCTCTTGCTAGATCGTAGGGCGCACGTTAGACCCAGGTCCTCATAGAACTCCTACATATCGAGCGATTATGTTCGATAGCCCACTCCTTCTTGGGTATTTTTCCCTTTTCTGTATATGGCGCGTGGGCGCTCGCTAATGTGGTCACCGGGGCGCGAAAGCAGCCAACAACTGAGGCGGCCGCGCTGTTTCAGCATCTCGATAACACCCTTTCCCTCACGAAAGAGCCGGCTACCCAACGTTTTCCTGTAGTATCGTACACTAAACAGAACAATACACACGCTCCGATACGATGAGTGTGATGCTAGCCCTGTGCCTCCTGGCCTATATATTGTGCCTGTGTTTGGCTCTTCACGAGCCTGCTATATCCAATCAATCGATCCCTGGAATAGACGTCATACTAAACGGAAACACACGCCGCTCCGCAGATGCAGCGAGTTTTAATCCCAGCCCTGTGCCTTTTGACCTAAATACCTGTGTTTGGCCCTTTGCCTGGGATCACGCACCGCACACGGGGATCGCGAAAACACGGACGGAATATAGACCATGACGCACGCCGATCGGACGGCCCTTCTGATCGGGGCGTGCGAGTGGGGGGACCTCGAGGCCCTCCAGCGCCTGCTTGAGCTTGGTGAGATGGTGCTTGCTGCTGTTGCATGCTGTTGTTGTTGTTCTCGCTGGCGTTGCATAGAATAATCTACAAAGAGTTTTTCGGTGATGGTAGGTCCGGGTGAGATCTGGAACCCCTTTCCGACGGTCGTTCGCTGCGAGCCAGCTTTTACATGGAGCGCAAGCGGCGCCAACGCACACACGCAATACCTTTTCCTAACCGGTTGACCGAAAGGTTCCATTTCTGCTCCTGCTTCTGTCTCTTCTGTGCGGGTCATCGTCGACACAGGGGCGTCGCCGCTGGACCTCTACTCGCCCTCTGTGGAAGAGTCCCGCTGTGTCTTCTGCCAGTTCTTCCTCTTCTTGCTCCAGGTGTGCGCGCACGGCGCTGCTGCGCTCCAAGCCTCTATTTTTCTTTTGATGGGTGCTTGTGTACGTTTGTTTTGTGATGGGGGTGTGGGTGGTTTCGTGCTTATGTACCTAACTCAACGTATAGGTTAGAGCAGGGCTGAGGTCTCGGCTTGCGCGGGATGACTCGATCGCACGGTGACCGTACACTGAACTCCCCCCTCCCCTTGCTGGCGAACAGGTCGGAGCAGGACTGCGGTCTCGGCTTGCGCCGGATGACTCGCTCCACGACCGTGCGCTCTCCATGCTGATCCAGCCCAGCCTGGAGGAAAACCGGCGGTTCTTGTCGAAGCCTCAGCTCCGCGACCAAGACGTAGGGAGAGGGTTCTGCCTCGTGCACCACGCGGCGGCCTTCGGCAACGCGAACAAGGTGCCAGCCACACACACACGCGCTCGCGTTCCGCCCCCTGCTGTTTTTCTTGTCTCCCGGACGAACGTGTTTTGTTGCATGCCTTACCATCTCGCGAAAGGTTCATGCAGAACGCGCCCCCACCACTTCAAAACTTTGCAGTTCAGAACTTGAGCCCAGAAAATCTAAAACTTGACCATGAGGACAGGTGCTCCGTCAAGAAGCCTACACGAAAACCTATATAGTCACACTAAAACATATATAGTTACACTGAAGACCTATGTAGTGGCCGTGGGGGTAGCTACCCCATACAGGCAATGTAAGCAACGAGCCTCCGCTTTAATAAGAGGTTCGTAAGTGGTGGAGTGTTCTGAGTACATACATGCATGGGTACTATGTTGAGAGGTGTGGCTGCAAGCTGTGAGCCTCGAGGATAGCACGCGCAGGAAATAGGTTTTCCTGGACTTGTGGTATGTGCGTGATACGCGGTCCTGCTCGGTGCCTCCTGGTTACAGCGCGAAGCACGACCTGAATATGTCCTCCCGAAAAGAAAAGTTCACACGGCGGTGGGGCATAGTTGGTGGTATGGCGTCGGTGTTGCAAGTACACGGCAGGCCCTTAATGCGGCACACGCCATCATGAATGAATCGAAAAAAAACACTGGCAGGAGCAACGGCGCAACCAACAGTGACAACAGTAGCAACGAACCTGTCGTACCAGCAGCAGCAACACCATCATCGACAGCAACAGCAAATGCCCCGATGCCCATCGACAACTGGAGAGTTTTGTTTTCACCGTGCGGCAGGTGGAGTTCCTGCTGCAAAGAGGAGTCGACCCGGACGCGAGAGCTCGAGGGGGCGACGAAACGGCGCTGATGGTGGCGGCGAGGAGGGGGAAAAGGACCCACCTGAGGGTCGCTGCGGCGCTGATCAAGGCCGGGGCTAACAAGCTGGCTCGAGACGTGAGAGCTACCGCCTTCTGTAGCATCTTCCCCCGCCGCTCAGTCGTCCACGAAGAAGCGACGGGTCTACGTTGGGGCTTCTTGGCGAAGAGTCCGAGACCGCTGTGTCCCTCTTCATGCCTGTACCCTTAGCAAGCCGCATCAACAGAGGGGGCGAGAGAACCCGCCCTTGCCTTCCTTCTCTCCAGCTTTCTTCATCATTTTTTTGTCGTGGGTCGTTCATCAGCAGCAACCCCCATCCCTCCCCCGACGTGGGTCCCAGGTGCCGCTGCCCCCTCTCCACTGGTAGGAGGAGTGCCTGCCGCATGTCAATTTCGAGTGATTTCGTTCCCCGCTGTTCCCCGTGATATCCCTAGAGACCAGTACTCCTAGCAGTTTCCTGCGTGGCCCTTCCTCGTTTTTGTGCCTACAGTAGTAGAGCGGCCCAGTTTTCTCTTGAACCACACCGCGACAGTTGGGCAAGCTCCCTTTCGTATTATAGTGCCACTGTCCCTCTCGGTCACCTCGGGTCGCCGAGTCACACCCCAGACCTAGCACCTCTCCTCTCCCCCCCCCCGCTCCCCCACCCCCACGCACGAGCATACTCTTCCGATTCGCAAACGACATTACGTTAACGTTACGAAAAGGCCAATGGCGGCTGTTGTTGCACAGATTATTGAGGACGCCCGTTACTTAAACGTTGTTACGCTGCGGGGGGGGTCGCACAAACACGGCTCCCCTCCCCGCGCGAACGCAACACAATTTCGCACCCTGTTTGAGTACCCCCCCCCTCCCCCCCCCCCGCCTGTTCTACCCGCGTGTTCGGATTATTCCCGACACCCCCGCGTCGTGAACCCCCTCACAGCGGTCCGGGAGGACCCCTCTCCACCACGCCGCCTCCGCCGGCCGTAAGCACATGTGCCACTACCTCCTGCTCGTGGGCGGGGACAAGACGGCACGGGACGACGAGGGAAGGACTCCGATGGACGCGTGCCGGGCGGAGCACCCGCGGGCGTTCGCCGTCATGCAGTCTTTTGTCAGCCGCAGGCCGCCCCCCGCGGTAAGGGTTTTCGTTGCCGCCTGCTCTCCGTCGGTTCCGACCAGAGTTGTATCAGAGGCTGCTGGAAGTCTGGTAGTCTTGGGTTCCGGCGGTGTTTTTTGTGTGCAACTCGTGAGCAAGCATCCCTGTGGCTGTGGGTACGCGGCGAACCTCGGCTCGTATGCCCAATTCATTCTCTTCTCTCTAGTCCTTCTGTGTGTGTCTCTCTCTGTCTCTCTCTGTCTCTCTCTCTCTTTCTCCCTTTGGTCCTCTCTTTCTCTCTGCGTGTGCGCCTCGCCGTTATCTCTATCTCCTTTTCTTAGCTCCTCCCTTCCGCGACCAAGGAACAACGCCCGTCGTGTTCGCCCTCTCGATTGGCCTTGTTCTAGAATACGAGATTGATTGTGGAAAGAGTAAAACACGGCGGTTGTTCTCCTACGTGTTCGGCTTTTCCCAGTTCACGTGTGTGTTTGGGTGTACAGGGAAATGTTTTTCGGGTGCCATCCACAATCTTGTGGAGTAATAAATTACATGTATTCTTTTTCGCGTGCTTCTCTCGGTTGTCCCGCTCTCTCTCTTCCATTCATTAATTGCTTTGTATATATTTCTATGTCCTGTATTTTTCTATATCCTGACGATGCCGGTGCGCTCATTGTCGCCGCGTTCATTTTCGGGCTACTGAGCAGGCTACCGCCTGTATTTATCCTTGAACCAACGGCACGTCCATGAGAGCATAAGAGCAACGGTTCGGCAGCATATAGAATATGTTTCGTTTTTTTTTTTCTTTCTTGCTCGTTGACTGCATTTTGTCCATCTTTGTTCATGATAGCTACTTTCTCACGATTTTTTTTCAATTTTTATTCACCCCCCCCCTCAATTGCATACTCCCGAACGCCCGCAGACGATCCTCGACTACATGGAGAAGGTGGAGGTTCACGGCCACGCCCAGGAACTCCTGCTGTGCCAACAAGCCGAGGCGGTAGCCGCCGCCGCCGCCGCCGCCGCCGCGAGCTTGGTCGCGGGCGGGGACGGGGAGGACAGCATGACGTCCTGGGACGCGGCGTCTCTCGGCGGGATGGTGAGCGGCACGGGCGCTAGCGTGCTTTCGCTCGGCAGTCTCGTCGCCACCACCACCACCGCTCGATAGGCTGTCCGACATACAAGAGGTTTTGCCAGATGTAACGAGAGGTTGTCAGATATACGAGAGGTTGTCCGATATACGAGAGGTTGTCAGATGTACGAGAGGTTGTCCGATATACGAGAGGGTAGGGGACGCGAATGTTGTCGTGTAGTGCTTTTTTCTCAGGCGGCTGACTGCCGGCGTGGGGATCGCGGTGCATTTTTTGTTGTTGTTGTTGTTGAAGCGGCGGAGGCAGCGAGCGCATGGTCACCGCTGACCAATGGGCTGAATCGTGGGGTCTAACGGGGCGCGAGCCGTTTCGCGTGTGGGGAGGCTGTCTGTTTCTTTTGCTTCATCTCAGGGCGGCAGCCGTACGATTGGCGGGCGGCTTTGTCTGATGGGAACTTGCTGAGCTACGGCGGTTGCTTTAGTTTTGTGTGTAAATTCTGAACATATCTATCTATTATAGTAAAAAAATGACGCGAAGGGCGGTTGGTGGGGTAGCGCGCAAGATGACCCAGTACAGTAGTCTATGGGTTCTTTATTTTTGGTTGTTTCATCGCCGGAGGCGTGTTTGTTCAATGGTCCGAAGGAAATAAAGCCGGTGTATAAGTATGTGGTGAGGCCCACGCAGCCCATTTGTGTAACGTAGTGAGTGTTCGTTTTCAAAGTGAGCGTGTAAAGTGAGTTTCGTGTACATTGTTGACTTGCCTTTCCTCTCTCTTTTTCATACCCAGTACTGTGTTGTACTCCTGAAGATGGCCTCGTTGCTGAGGCACGGGGAAAAACAACTGCTTGACCCTCTTGCCACTTTCTAAGTTTAAGGCAACCACCGGAGATGGACCTTTTTCTCTGACGTCGCCGAGGTATATTCATCCAGAACAGAATCCAAGAACATGAAATTTGGGTAGCACCAAGTAAAGGGCGGTCGTTTGTTGGATTGTGGGCACAGAAAACACTCTGTGGTGGCGCTTTGTTTGTTGTCAGCAAAGGTGGTGTGCGCTGGTGCTGCTGGCACGTCTTGCCCAGGACTCGCGTACGATGCGTTCGTCATTTTTCTTCGAGTTTAGAGTCAGTGTTCTTGTCGGCATCCATCCGTGTTTGTCCTCTGTTTCAGTCATATCACCCGATCCGACGCATCAATAGTTGATCGTTTTTCTTAGGCCTGTAGAAGGGAGGAGCTATCAGTACCTTGCACGACATGTGTGCGTGCCTTCTCGTACCGTTGAATCTAGGCGCCAGTATTTGCTTTTTGGTTGACGCACAAGGCGGGGGTCACGCCACTGGAGGAAGGAAAAGGAAAACACCGGAGTTTTTCTTTTTTGTAATGATAAGCTTTGCTGTTGCGCACGTACCACATGCTTACATCATAGTTGTAGTTTCCATCTGTATACATGCCATTTGTTGCCAAGTATTCTCCATCGATTAAAATGGTGTTTTAATCTGAACGGCGATTGCACTGCAAGTATTGGGTGAGACCACCAAGGTTCTGGCTGCTTCTACGTAGGTCCTGTTCGACTTAATGTCGTTCCCCCGACGAAACTGCAGCAGCAGCAGACTACGCTTAGCACCCCACGCTCGAGGAGAGACGGACGATGGAGATTGCCCCAAAACAAGCGAGAGCGTGTTTTTACAGATTGCTCCAGCAGCCACATGGTAAGGCGCATGCCACAACACCAGACAACCTGTGCCGGTTGAACGGCAACATAGCGTGTGAACGATACTACTCACTGCTGTGCCTTTTGCTAGAGCTGTTGGCTGTGGCCCCTCGTGGAGCTTTCGGTGCGAGGGTTAAAGTAGAGCGGACGCTACGATTCTCGTGGCCCCACCACACCGGCCGGTTGCGTCCACGCTTCGCATCATCATCATCGTGCCGGCGACGATTGGCGTGGTTCAATGTTGGGTCATATTCATGATGACTCCCCAAGCAGGGAGCGGGCGTTGGCACTAATCGTCGTGCATCGATTGTTCCCAAAGGAACGAACGAATCGGTAAGTTGCCGAACAGAGGGATACCTTTCCCCACCCGCAAGACAAGCCCGACGTGTCTATCAGACCAGACGCCGCGCGCGAAAAGGGACCGAAACAAGCCCCATCATCCAAAATCGCCACGTTTTTAGCGCTCTCGCGTACCACGACAACGCGAAAAATCCTTCCACGGTGATTTTCACGCCGCAGGCGGGCGTCGTTGTTATTCGCTGGCACACGATGGGGTCTCAACATGACCAAGGCAAAAGAAACCAAGTACCTCCTCCCACCTTGTCTCGTGGCCACTCTAACCTTTCAAAGCACACGATGAGGCCCACATGAACGAGACAAAAAAACTACACCCCATCCCATCTTGTCTCGACGCCAGTCTCACCTCTCAATCTGAGCCGCTACTGTACCGTGGCATCAGCCGCGGAGGGCACACGCGGAATTATTCCTCTCCGCGAGCCCCCCCCCCCCCTGCACGCACCTTCCTCCGGAGGTGCGCACGTGCAATTGTTCAGCGACATGGGTCCAGCAATTCTCTACAACCCCTTGTCAACGCCTACACGAATCTTTGCAATTTTGTCTCTACGTTCTACATACGCAGTCAAGTCTCTCATGGGTCAAGCAATTCTCTTTTCCCTCGTCAAAAAAAGATTGACATTGCAACTGTGATTTTTCACCACTGGTATCTACGCTCTTCAAGTCTCCAGCCTCGTCCACTTGGTCAAGTCGTCACCGACTGCCACTGCGACGCCAATGGCGGAATTGCCAAAGACCCCTGCGCCCTCCCCCTCCCCGCCTTCTTTTTTCTCGGGGTATCCGGAGTAGTAGAGGTACCACATCCCGCCGTCGGTTTCAACGATTTCGGGGTTGGACACGCCTCCGGCATCCCACGCGCCACTGGCAAAAAAGAGAGACAAGAGCAGCGTGGAAAAAACGGTCTCAAAACAAAGACACTGTTGTAGGATGTCATACAAGCGTACCTTGGGAGTCAGGGCCTCCGCATAGACACGAGGTGTAGAAAGGTAGACAATTGATGCAAATCGGGAATGGTCAACCAAACATAAAAAACACAGGCTACCGCAGCAGAGGCGCAACCCCCGACGCATTTCCGAAACACACCACCACGAAAACAACAGCCGCCGCCGCAGCAGCAGCAGCAGCAGCAACAGCAGCAGCAGCAGTAGCAGCAGCAGCAGCAGCAGCAGCAGCAGCATCTCACCTGCCGGGAGGGCTGCGCTCGAAGATAGGCTGGTCGCTGTGTCGCTCCCACTTGATACCATCCTTGCTGGTGGCCAGGCCCAGCGCGTGCACCCCGTCCTTGTCAACGCCTTCGTACACCATATGGTACACCCTGGACACGAGCGCGGCGACCACCCACGGTGTATCCGAACCCCCCGGCATGTCAGAGTCTAGTTTTGTGTGTGAAAAAGCACGTTAGTCATAATCGAAATGCCAGCATCAAAAATCCCGTTTACCCTCCAACCGCTGCCACATGCGTAGGCGACTACTGCTGTCACGTTTGCGTGCAGTCGGCCCGTCAGAGCCTAGTGTTGCGTGCAAACAGGTGCAATGATATATGTCGTTCATAATCGAATTGCCAGCATCAAAGAACCTGCCTACGCCCCAAACGCTGTCGCACGCGTAGGAGACTGCAGTCACGTTTGCGTGCAGCGGCACAATCACTGGGCTGTGCGTTCCGACACCCTTTCAGGAGTTCCGACACCCTTTCAGGAGTTCCGACACCCTTTCAGGCAGGAGTACTGATTCGGAGATTCGTTCGCAAGACGGTTTCTTACCCCTTGTGCATCACGATTCGTCGGCGCCCCGCCCCCCGCTCGTCGAAAGAGCCTTCCGGCCCCCCGTCAAAGACCGGCCCCTTCTTCTCCCAAGCCAGCCCGTCTTGCGATGTCGCCATTCCTTTTTGTGTGTAGGGAAATGGGGGGAGGACGGGGGTCGAAAAAAAGAGTCAACGGGACAGAAAAGACAGCACACATTATCGATAGAAAATGTTCCAGGTACTGCTGTACGGACGAGCCGCAGCGGACAGACAGACACAAAGACAGAGCACACCACCAGAGTAGAATGACGCTTGGCCCAAGTAGCCCACACCAACAACTAACAGAGACGATCAAAACGTTAAGGTTTCAGACTCGCGCCGTCGTAGACAGCTTAGGCGGGCCTAGCCTTAGACAGATGACGGCACTTCGCAAAGCGCCATTTCGAGGAATAACACCCGCTCAACCCCACCATCATCCGTCATCCATTAATTCACTTGGCACGCCGTGAAAACGAAAATACGAAGGGGGGCACGCGCAGAAACTACCCCCCTCCCCCCCCACGCCGTACTCGCACAAGTCACTCACCGACCCTGAACTTCTTGGTGTCAGGGTCGAGGGCGTGGTAGTACATGCGGAACTCCTTCTCCATGTGGTTGATCACCACGGGCCACCCCACGAACAGCCTGTCCCATTCGCCGGAGCCCCCGACGTCGACGCAAGCCCCCGTGGGGTGCTCTCCCTCGACGCGGCACCTGGACGGACACGAGAGCAGCGGGAGCGGAGCAAGGTGGTGCGGTGCAGCTGTTACTTGTGCAGCAGTAGCCACCGTGGCTCAAGCACCCCTGGGGTATTTTGTGAACACAGTCGTGGCTCCGATAGAAGAGGGTGGTGTGACAAAGGCCCTCGACCCTGTTATATCGGAGCCCCTTCTTACACCCGAGTAAGAGGGTACCCAACAATGCTTAGAGGGCCAAGTCCGTGACAACTGATTTTGACCCTCTGCAATATTGGAGCCACGACAGTGGTAAAAAAGGAGGGAATTATCTCGTTTTGTCTGGCATGAGCGTTGTACACTATGCGCCGTGGCTCAAGCATCCCTCGGGTTGTATCTTGTGATACGTGTAAAAGGCTTTATCTCGTTCTATCTTCTTCGAACTGCCAAAAAGTGGTAGGATTGGCACCAGGGCCAAATTGAGGCATCGCGCGTACCTTCCTTCCTACAACCGACGGGGAACAGCTTCGATGTCACAAGGCACCTCCGCGAGCTGCATCTCGATTCAATTCCGCGCGAGAATTTCCGTTAACCACAACCTCTCCTTACAACGCGGCGCCAAAAGCACGATGTGTTCGCAAGGAAGCTGCGAGAGATGGAAGTGGCAGATGTGGCACACTGCGAAGTCGCCCTCGACACGACCGATGTCTGCGTGTGGGAGACGAGCTGCGTCGACATAACGTGCGGGTGTTGAGAGTCTAGTAACACCTCTCTTTCCCCCGCCCTCTGTGTGTCGGTTGTTCATGGAATGGCTTCTCACTTATTGATTCTCCCCCCTGTTGCCACGACCCACATTTCACTCTGTCTGCGTCTTCTCGCTCTCTGTCGTCCGTGTCTATGCGTTCCCTTTTCTCGAAGGCGAGGTTTCGTGGCCGCATGCATACACCATGCAAGTAGCGCCCCGGGGTTTCGATTGTTGCTCGGATCGCAAAGAAATGGCAAATTCGTTGTGTTGTTGAAAGAAAAAAAAAAATGTCGAAAAAAATACTCACCAGTTGAGCCCGTCCTGGGAGAGGGCGACGCCGATACGCATTCGAACTCCTTTGGGAGGCGCGTTGCTGTCCCCGCAGACAACAGGCTGCGCGTTAGACAAGAACCAATACAAAACATCGCAGGGGGGGGGGGGGAGGTACCGGCAGTCAGCGTTGCCGCCATCTTTATACAACTGGGGGGAAGGGGAGGAAGGCAGGACAACGCATATGGCCGGATTAGAATTGCAGATAAAGAACAGTTCTCAAACAGGTCCGAACAAGACCAAAACGGTTGCTCTGGGACAATTCCAACATTATTGGTGGACCGCTTTTGTAAAAAAAAAAGACGGCACGGGGGTGAAGCTCAACAGGTGGAAAACGACAAGTCAGTTCAGAATGGCGAGACACCGAAGGATACGACGGGACTCACGGTGTTCTATTTTCCGACATCAAGGTGGCGGGATTTGAACCCGGGTAATCTTCCATGAAACTCAGACACTCCGCTCGTCGACGCCAATGTGAAATGAGGGAACCGTTCGTCCTCGCCAGATGTTGGGGAGATGGGGACCTTTTAAACGGTCACCTCCACACGAACTCAAGATACAAGTTGTGGAGAGGCCTACTGCGGCAACTACTCCGAAACCTGGGTGGAAGGAACAGCATCTACAACAACGACAACAAGCACCAAAACATAAGGGCCACCAATAGCCCAATAGCAATTGCATCAGCCACCACGACCACAACATCAGAGTCAGATAAAATCTACCTCACGTTGCTCAACTCAAACTCAAACAGCAACCACAATAACAACAACAGAGACAGCACATCAATCTCACGTACGTTGCTCACCCCAAACCCAAACGTCAACCACAACGGCAACAACAGCAGAGACAGCAGATCTATCTCACGTACGTTGCTCAACCCAAATTCAAACATCAACCACAATAACAACAATAACAGAGACAGCGCATCTATCTCATGTATGCATACGTTGCTCCACCCAAACCCAAACGTCAACCACAACGGCAACAACAGCAGAGGCAGCAGATGTATCTCACGTTGCTCAACCCAAACTCCGCCTGGACGTCCGTCTCCTCGTAGTCTCCCCCGAAGTAGTACATAAAGTACACGGACGACTCCGTCGCCACCCTCGAGCTCGCCCCTAGGTTAACGTCCCCCAGCCCCACGTGCGCGGTGTCGAAACCCCACCACTGTTCGGTGTTCTTGTCGAGCACCGAGGACATAGCCATCTGTCCGGCCGTTCGTCGCCAGGTCAGCCCATCCGTCGACTCCGCCCGCCCGATCCTGCTCTCTCGAAAGCGAAGGGGACGGGGGACTCATATTTACGCATGCTGTATACAAATAGTCGATATTTAAGATCATTGACCTCGCATCCCCACAATGCCCGGGTGGAGCTATATGCCGGGTTTTCGCTGGCCCAAGCAAGGAGGGGGGTGCTCAAGAAAACGCATGGGCCGTACTCGTTAGACCATAGACCGCGCATGCTCACATTGCCAGATGCTATGATAAGCCGGTTTTCGCCGGCCCAGGTTACGCTTCACAAGGATGAAACCGAAGCTGGTGTCATCATCCTTGCGTTGGCTGTGCCAAACCGGATTTTCCCTGGGTTGATTGGACGTTCCGGCAAACCACACGGTTCATTCTCGGGGGGCCCAGGCTACGTTTCAAGAGGTGCAAGTATCGATATGTACCTACCTTCCTGTGCCGACGTTCATTACGCCTTTGCCCTCCTTGTTCCACTCGGTGTCCTGGCCGTGGTACCACATCACCCAGCGGTTCCCTTCGTCGTGGTAATCTGATAGGTCAGGCGTTAGAGCGCAGGGCAGTCACGCCCAATAAGAAGCAAGGAGCGGCAGCGGGAAGGGGTGGGTGCTTTAGAAGGTAGCATGTTCTTTTCAATCGACCGTTATTGTCCCACCGTCTTGCTTCACTTTCATGCTGCATCGGTTGACTTAGGCGTTAGGGACACGTCTTGCTCCTTGCCTTATGGAACATGACTACTTCTATGCTATTACCGGTGGCGGGGTGTGTAACGGACCTTTTCAAACTAAATTTACCTACAACACCGTCTCATTGAGGGTAAACCGTAGGTGACATAAGATAACACCCCCCCCATTTCCAAAGCTTGATTGCTCAACAAATGAACGTATGCATATGCATACGATTTCGGAAAGCTCTCGACGAGGCGGCCCCAATGCTGCTATTTTGGGCGCTGCCACTCTTCCCACTGTGGAGAAATCGAGCGTTGACAATCGGCTCAGGGGGGTGAAATCCTGTGACACCTACAGTACTGCTGTACATGAGCAACAACTTTTTGCGCATGTTTACACAAAACCTTCCCATTTTCCATCCCTCACATCTATGCACCCTCGGCGAGCCCACGCTGGCGCTGTCGAACCAGCCTTCCTCCTTGTCCGTAGGGAACACAAGGCCGCGACGAGAAGGGTACTCTCCCGAGTACGAGCTGGAATCCATGAACAGGGGAGCGGGGCCGCGGCACGCCGCTCGTGAGGCGATCCCGCTAAGGCCGCATCCAGAGCTCGTTGGTGCGTTTCGCAGAGCAGATGTTGCTGCTTGTGCTCGCCCTCTCCTCGACGCAGCACGCGGCGCTGCCGCCGTGAAGCCGGCTGCCTCTTGTGTGCATGAACACACCACTACTCCCACAACGGCTGCTCTGTAGATACTGGGAGCCTTCATCGTGCGCCCAACTGCACGACCAAGCAACTACCAGGCCAAGGAGAGGCAGAGAGAGAGGCAAGCGAATCAAGCGAATGGGGGGGGGATCCGCAAAGGCGACTTCAACGAAAAAAAGGGTGGGCGCGCGAACCTACATGCCTCGCGACCAACGGGAACACCCTTCTAGAAAGATATCCCCCCGACCCCCTCATCACGTGGTGGAGGCGTTTCGCTTCGAGAAGGTTCGAGATCCGCCAGATCCCGCTCACTGCTGTCCTCCCCACCCGTTTACTTCTCACAGAGATCCAAGAAGAACAGCACGCAAACAGCAGTACCAGAGCCAAAGGCACCAACGATCATGGCAGCAGTCGAGGGAGAAAGCATCGGCATCGACCTGGGCACGACTTACTCTTGCGTAGGCGTGTGGCAGAACGACCGCGTGGAGATCATCGCCAACGACCAGGGCAACCGCACGACTCCGTCCTACGTGGCCTTCACCGAGACGGAGCGTTTGATCGGCGATGCCGCCAAGAACCAGGTGGCGATGAACGCCACCAACACCGTCTTCGATGCCAAGCGACTGATCGGCCGCAAGTTCACCGACCCGGCCGTGGCCTCTGACAAGAAGCACTGGCCCTTCAGTGTGGTCGCGGGTACCGGTGGGAAGCCCACGATCGAGGTATCTTTCAAGGGAGACAAGAAGCAGTTCGCGCCTGAGGAGATATCTTCGATGGTGCTGGTCAAGATGAAGGAGATCGCCGAGGCCTACCTCGGCAAGGAGGTGAGTGTGTGAGACCTGTATAATAGAAATAAATGAGTGCCGTGGTTGTATGGAAGCCCTCTACTCTGGCTGAGCAGAGAGTCCGGGAGTGTGGTGGCTATGTCCTGCCACCGGAGGTTGGCTATTTCCTTTGGTGCAATATGGCGAGGAATGCCAAGCGTGACCGAGCGAACTCAGTCAAGCCAGGGTGGCGAGGAGAGTGGGCGAGCCTTCGTGGACCCTTTTCCCATTCTCCTAAAGATTCATCAACTCTTCGCAGCCGTTGGGAATCGTAAGAGTCATAGACCCTCGAAGAACGGTAATCTATTATCACATATCCTCTCAGATCCTACTCTTTATGTACGTGTATCTGTGCTCCCTGAATCTCCATATCCTGACCTCCACATAGCCCCCCTTTTTCTTCGCCGAAAGCTCAGCTTGTTGAAGTTGGGTTTTGGCGCGCATGCATGTTTGCATGTTAATTGTAGTGGAGCAGGTATGGATGTATCATTGGATCCAGATACAGCTTTTCGAAAATTAAATCTCTCCCTCACTATCCGAAGACAGCTGACAGTGCCGTGTGGAAAACACACGTGTTGAAAGCAACACCGTACGGATTTAATCTCTTCGTCGACGCCAATATGGAAGCCCTCTACTCTGGCTGAGCAGAGAGTCCGGGAGTGTGGTGGCTATGTCCTGCCACCGGAGGTTGGCTATTTCCTTTGGTGCAATATGGCGAGGAATGCCAAGCGTGACCGAGCGAACTCAGTCAAGCCAGGGTGGCGAGGAGAGTGGGCGAGCCTTCGTGGACCCTTTTCCCATTCTCCTAAAGATTCATCAACTCTTCGCAGCCGTTGGGAATCGTAAGAGTCATAGACCCTCGAAGAACGGTAATCTATTATCACATATCCTCTCAGATCCTACTCTTTATGTACGTGTATCTGTGCTCCCTGAATCTCCATATCCTGACCTCCACAGTTGTTCTCAAAGAAAAAGGGGTCCGTTCCCCTGGAGATCTTTGGTAGGGACGATTCTACAGAAAACAAACAGAGAGGGTATCTCTCGTACCGTACTCCGTATTTTGGATCTCGATACCAGATGCTACCAGATGCTGGAAAGCGCAGGCACTTTGAACTTGGATCCGTCTGGAACACATTATTGTATGGCAGCAAAGAGAGCGGTTGTTTTCTCGAAATGTACCCGTCGGGTGTGAAGCAGAGGTGGGCCGTGATGCCTCCTGTGCTTGCGCTCTCGTTTGCTGGGAGGTGGTGCTCGGCAGCGAGAAAGACAATGACTACGTCTCGAAAACGACCAGAATCAACTGGTAAAGTCGAAAACATCTTCAATTCTACTGTACTATTGGCATGAAGTCTGCGGTAACCCATTCGACTCCCCATGGTGATTGTATTTGAGGTGGGAATAGTTGGAATGGTTGATATTATCAGTTGGAAAAGATGCGGGCAACATGGTAAAGGCGCCGAAATCATCGTCCTCTACGTTATACATGAAGTAGCAGTGTCTGAGACGGATAGGGTTGTGCGTCCAGAGCAGTATTTAGCAGTGAAAACGTTCTGCCGTGTTACCCACGTGATAAGAAGGGGTGAGGTTTGTTGGAGAAAATCTTATTGTTGTACCCTTACACAACCACCGAACGAGGTCGGAAAGGCGTCCACACTTCTAGATTATTCTCAGCTGGAGGCATACACAGGTTTTCGTCCAACAATAGCGGCAGATGGAGGAGAGCAACCCAAAACAGACTCCCGTACGAAACGGTCGTCCAGCCGTTGACCTCAACACGTTGCGTTGTTGTTTCTGCGTCGGTGGCCTACAGACTGTATTCAACTCAGCACGGAAGAGACGTACCATGTCCTGTGTGCAAGAAATACCTAGCGGGTTTGTTGTGAACAGAAGACGAACCCATCGTACAATGTGACGTTCTTTGGTTTGCGGTCATGAGAGTACCCGTAAGATCCGTATCGTCTTGCGCCGCTAGCAATGCAACATATTGTTACTGCTGTGGCTTGCTGTGGGACCCTAGCGCCTTCTACATGGCAGCGATCACGTCCTTTCAAGAGGAAAAACGATACACGCCTTCCAACGAACTGTCCACACGCCTCCGTAGTCATAGATCCCGATCGCCAGCACCCGATCGTCGCGCTCTGAAACAGTTGTGGAGGACTTTCGCTCGACAACTGTTTTGGTGACAATGCTTTTAACTTGAGCGATCGCAACCCAACCCCTTGTTTTCTACTGTAACTCCTCCATTAACACGGCACGGTTCATCAACACTGCCAGGTGAAGAACGCGGTGATCACCGTGCCCGCGTACTTCAACGACTCCCAGCGCCAGGCGACCAAGGACGCCGGATCCATCTCGGGCCTCAACGTGATGCGCATCATCAACGAGCCGACCGCCGCGGCCATCGCGTACGGCCTGGACAAGAAGGGCGAGGAGCGCAACGTGCTCATCTTCGACCTGGGCGGGGGCACCTTCGACGTGAGCGTGCTTACCATCGAGGAGGGCATCTTCGAGGTGAAGGCAACGGCGGGCGACACCCACCTGGGCGGAGAGGACTTCGACAACCGGATGGTGGACTACTTCCTGCAGGTACGCGGGTGCTCGCTTGCTGTGGCGGTTGGGTCGGTTCATTGCTCCGTGTTTGGCGGGTAACGGAAATGGATTCTTTTGTTGCACCGTAGTTTTGCTCGTTGCCTTTTGGATACCAGCGGCGGCGTGTCTCGCTGTGTCTAGCAGACGTCCTTCAAGGAATACAAGCCCAGGAAAACTGTAGCTTGTCTTGGTGATCGCAACGCGCTAAAAAGTAAGAAACGTGCGATTTTGTTAGGCCCAGTACACGAAAGCTGCTTCTTCCCAAGGGGACGTTTTTTTGTTTGTCGGCACGATGGCAATTCCCCTGTATTGATGTGAACTTTCGAGGTGCCCCGTACCCAAGGGTATCGTGAAGGCGATTAATTCTGCGTGTTATTCCAGACCGCAGTCTGGTGTTGCAGAGATGAAGTCGATGTTGTTGCTAAATGTCGCTTTTGGGACATGTGCTTATTTTCAGTTTGTCTCAGATTACAGCTTATTGCAGAGATCAGATGCTGAGGGATAGTTGGGAGTGATTGTGGTGGGGCTCGTATCACCTCGATCTCGCTAATATTGATCTCACGATCGACAATCGTTTTACCAACATCACTCATCACATCGCGCGTCTACGTATCATTGTAAGCAGCAGCTTCAGCCGCATCTATACCGATTACACACATCCCACAGCGGGCAATGCGCTGTATTTCAAGATGCCCAGCTTTCGTGCTGCTGATGGCTGTTGCTGCTGCCGGAAACACCAACCGAATCGAGTATTTCGTCCGCACATACTACTTCCTGTTAATTTCCAGCCCAAAGGAGAATTCGAGAATTCCGTGCTTCAACCGCGCCAGCATTGGAGCCTCGTCCTCGGTGAACGCCAACCGGGTGCGGCTCCCCGGAGTTTTCGTGAAACGTCAATTTTTCTGATTGTCCCCTCCCTATTTTTCCCTCCCTCCCTCCCTCCCTCGTCATCCACCGTGGTGGCTTGCTCTCGTGCACCGCCGTAAACCGTAGGAGTTCAAGCGCAAGAACCGGAAGGACATGAGCACCAACCAGCGCGCCCTCCGACGGCTCCGCACGGCGTGCGAGCGCGCGAAGCGGACCCTCTCGTCGTCCACCCAGGCGCACATCGAGATCGACTCCCTGTTCGAGGGCATCGACTTCAACTCCACCATCACTCGCGCCCGGTTCGAAGACATGAACCAGGACTACTTCCAGAAGTGCTTGGCACCCGTTGAGAAGGTAGGTTCACGGTTACCTAGTTGAGGTGGTTACCAAAATAGTGATGTTTATTTCTAGAGGGGGGGGCAGAAAGGGATGAGGACTATTTTATTTTGTGGCACGACAGCGGCAGATGCCAACTACTACATAGGCATCGGTCATCCCACTTGCATGAATTTTGTGCACAGCACAATATTTCGTCGAAATATGAGAACTGAGAGGGCTGGCGGTTACGAGCTGACGATCTGTGTATGCATGCAGGCTCGTGTGTCGAAACTTCCGATGTCCGCGACCGCCACATACAGCGTCAATAGCATCTTCACCCGGTTTTCACCTGATTGCCACTATTGTAGTATGGGCGTTGATCCCATGAACAGGAACGCGGAATACACAGTCGTGCCTCGCTTAAGGACACCAATACTAAGGAAACTCCCTCGGTGAAGGACAACTTCTTTTCACAGGCATGGTGGCTCGCAGAATGTACAGCACAACGAGGGGTATCGACCTTTAGGACACTTCCCGAGCTTAAGCACACTTTATATTAGCAAGAAACCAAATGTGTGTCCTAAACCGAGGTTCGACTGAATGCTTCGGTCTTGTCCACATTCTCGATGTTTTTTTGCTCGACCCAAATCAGGTGGTGAAGGACGCCAAGATGTCCAAGGGCCAGATCCACGAGGTGGTGCTGGTGGGCGGTTCCACGCGTATCCCCAAGGTGCAGCAGATGCTTTCGGAGTTCTTCAACGGAAAGGAGCCGTGCAAGTCCATCAACCCCGACGAGGCCGTCGCGTACGGCGCCACCGTCCAGGCCGCCATCCTCTCCGGCAAGGACAAGTCGGAGAAGCTCGACTCGCTCCTGCTCCTCGACGTGACCCCGCTCGGGCAGGGGCTGGAGACGGCCGGCGGCGTCATGGCGGTGCTCATCAAGCGCAACACGACGGTGCCGGTGAAGAAGTCGCAGGTGTTCTCGACCTACGCGGACAACCAGCCGGGTGTGCTGATCCAGGTTTTCGAGGGTGAGCGCAGCATGACCCGCGACTGCAACCTCCTGGGCAAGTTCAGCCTGGACGGGATCCCGCCCATGCCCAGGGGCCAGCCGCAGATCGAGGTGACGTTCGACATCGACGCGAACGGCATCCTGAACGTGCACGCCGTGGAGAAGTCCACTGGCAAGGAGAACAAGATCACAATCACCAACGACAAGGGCCGCCTCAGCGCCGACGAAATCGAGCGCATGGTGGAGGAGGCCGAGCGCTACAAGGCCGAGGACGACGTCCAGAAGAGCCGGGTGGAGGGCAAGAACTCGCTCGAGAACTACGCCTACTCGATGCGCAACACCATCAACGACGAGAAGGTACGTGTCTTGGCGGTTTCATGCGTGCACCATGTTTCGAGAAGGTAATGGTCGCCACGATCTTCGGGAGCCGTGTGTGTACGGTGTATATTGATTTCGCATGATTTTCCGCCCTGCAGCGTCGTAGTGTAGGCCGGAAGACGTGTTGTTTCAGCCAAGGTACAATCATGACATCACCACAGGGCGATGCGCCCAACGCTGCAGATGTAGAGTCACGAAATGTTCGTGCTGCACCGCTCTATTGTTAAACCATTGCCGCACCTCCTTCCCCCGAAAACCATGTATGCTTTCTGAACAAAAAAATCAATAACAGGTTGCCTCGAAGCTGGACGCGGCCGACAAGACGACGGTCGAGGCCAAGATCTCGGAGACGATCGCGTGGCTCGACGGCAACCAGTCTGCCGAGAAGGAGGAGTACGAGGAGAAGCAGAAGGAGCTGGAGGCCGTTTGCAACCCCATCATCCAGAAGATGGCCGGCGGGGCCGGCGGCATGCCAGGCGGTATGCCCGGCGGCATGCCCGGAGGCATGCCCGATATGGGCGGCGCCGGCTTCCCCGGGGGTGGAGGAGCGCCAGCCCCCGACGCGGACGCCGACGCCGGCCCCAAGATCGAGGAGATCGACTGAACGAAAAAAAGACGAAACTGCGAGGGTACTTGCTACAATGTTTATAAACTTACTCGTTTTCTGTTCGGGTACATTGTAGTGATGGGTCGCCTAAGATCTTTGTCGGTTCCTTCCTATTGGGTCGAGCAACACCGGTCTATGTACGGCGTAGATGTACAAATGATGGTCATGTTTCTCGTGAATTGTCTTTGAGTGGGCGGCGAGGCGACAGGCCATTCCCACAGAGTGAGCGACGTTTTTTTTTTTGCCGAGTAGGGGAGGGGTGAGGGTAGCGCCCAGTCCCCACGCTGGTAGAGTTTATCGTGTTTCTGTCATTCTGGCGCGAATGACTCTAGAGTTGATTCGTTTTGATGTGCGCAGAGGAGCGATGAGGACGCCGCGGGTTCGACAAGGAGTGGAAGGGAGCCACGTTTTGAACCACATTTGTTTTTTGGTGTTGTACTTGTTGGTTGCCGACACCGAACGAATCTACTTCACGCTCACGGCGGCAGTGTGTCGGTGCCTTACCTACTAAGATTACGTAGCGAGGAGATAAGGGTGGTGTGGTTTCTGTGAACCAAGGGGAACGTCTCACGAACAGCTGGGAAAAATATGTAGCTGTGTTGTAACTGCACAGATCTGCTTTTTTGTTTCTCGGCAGATTTCATGGGATATCAAAGGTTCACGTGAGCTGATGCCAACTCAGACAAGATGGCGGGTGGAGAAGTGTATAGGTACGAGTGGAATCTTCACCGTGTTTGCTTTAGATGAAGAGTTTCATGCGACCGAGCGCATGTTCGAGCAGACGCTCCAATGAAGGAATTAATTTTTCGCTGGGCTTTCTCAAATACTCGACTTCCCATCTGGTCAAACAATAGGGCACATGGTGCGTCCCCCCTTTTGGGGGGAAGTTGTCCTGCAATCACGCAAAGTGTCCGCGTCAATTGGACAGGTACTTGCAGATACGGGTGTAGAAGGTACTGAACAGAAAAAACGGAGCTGTTAAATTTACTCGTTCCACGGGAGAGGCAGAGAGAGACATGAGGTGTACATGTACAAAGGTTGTCCGCGTCCTCTAGTCTATATGCGACTCAGACAGTCGAGTCGACCTGCTATCGGCACATAATGGCAGGCAGTCAGTGCCTTCCTTGAACGACTGGTCTCATCTCGAGCTCGATATCTTAGCGTCTCACCTCCATCGACGGGTCGGAAATCTGTACACTTGCTAAAAAATTCAAAATTCTCTGCACCCGCCATGTGGTCTTCCCTCAGCTCTTGTGCCTGTCTCACTCATGCGCATGCTTGGCGCTACCGCGTACCGTCCACAACACAGGCAACGTCCACCGGAGGTTGACATGTCTATGAAATTGGCACCCACCGCGCTACCCGACCCATGATTTTTCCATGAATGAAGATATGGCGGTGCCATGACGTCATATGCATACATAGGCACATATGTAGACGTACCCCGTTTACCTTCAAATTCTTGCTCGCAGGGACCCTTCAGGGCCAACTGCTGTGTTCGTGAGAACTGCGTTGCGCATTGTGGTGCGTGGTCAGCTGGCCAGGATATTTCGGTTGCTGCACAGTCTGAGTTTAGAGCGCTCCCTGTGTATACAGCTGCTGGCGATCAGGGACATCCAGGAGGAAGAGAAGAGACACAACCAAAACCTTGCATGTAGTCAGTACAAGCGTACAAGCCCTGCGGCGCAATCCAATCCAACCTCTCTTTCTCTGTGCGAGCGGACAAACGGCGAAATTGACCCCCGCCTGCTGGGAGTTGGATCAGCAGGGAGAGGAGCAGCAGCACCAAAATGCCCGCCACGCCTCTGTTCCACCCGAAGAACGAGTCGTCCAAGGGGACGGGCAGGCTCGGCCGCCTCACGAAACGAGAGGCAGCTTCTCTGGCTTCTCTCAAGCAGCTGGCGCGCAAGCAAGGCTTGTCCTTGGGGCTTGTGCGCGGGCCGGGCGAGCAAAACGATGTATGCCTGCTACGGTTCCTGCGGGCGCAGCGGTTTGAAGAGAAGAGGGTGGGTGCAGCGTGCGAGCTTAACCTTTTCTTTGTGTTGGGGTGGAATTTGGCACAGCAGCCTGCATATGGTCGAAGGCAGCACCATTCCTTGTAGTAGACGACGGTTTGAGGATTAGATCAAATAAACCCCGTGTGTGTGTTCGGTGCCGCTCTCTTTGTTCTTTGATCGGCAACGCATCGCTCCCATGTACCATTCTTACCAGACAGAGGGCACGACAATCGTCGACCACACACACAATAGAGAAAGCGTGTGGTTGTGCAGTTGTGAATAGTACCAACTCCACGTGTCAACATGTAAAGGTTTGAAGTATACCTCCAGAAAATCCGTTCTCAATCGGGTGTTTGCGTATGTAGCTGCAATGGTTACAAAACCTCTGCAGCATGTATCCTTCCTTCGAGCCCTGTACGCTTGTTGCGTGGGCGGCAGCAAGAACATTCCGCCACGGAAAATGGGCTCCTCAAGTTCGCGCGAAGAACGAAACAAAACTGGTTTTGAGAAATTTACTGGAGGTGGATCACGCACGGCATCCTGTGTAGTGCAGTGTGGCCCATTCTTGCTTGGACGGCATTGGCGTTGAAATACGAAAAACTGCTGCACATGCCCCAACGCTTGTTTCGCCAACTGCGGGCGGGCCTCGACTGCTTTAGGGGTGCAGAGTTGACGCAGAGCTCTGCTTAGGTGCTGGTCCGGCTGACGCGGACAACTTCCATGTGGCACAGGCTACCGACCGGACAAGAGTATATAAACTCTGTGAAACAATCAACCATTTACAGTTGTAGCAACACAAACGTGGTTAGACTAGAGATATGCACAGCATTAAAGCCAGAGAATATTTGCTAGATTGTAAGCATCACGCAGATATATCCATCCCGCGAGGCTAGATACGTACGGTGAAATGAAAACGGGAAAGGGAGGTGGCGGTACCAGAGCTGAAAGCCCAAAGCGTTACTAAAACACCACGCACGGCGGCCTCCAAATGTCAGCCCAAACTATTGACTGTCTCCTACTCCAACCACTACTACCTCGACCGTCTCTTCCTCCGCTAGTACCCTATTTAATGCTGTTGTTGTCACCCCTATTAACCCCTCTCGCGTTGTAGTCGTTAGCCTCCAAACGCCAACGCAAGCAATCTCGACCGTCTCTTCCCTCCAACGTGTTGCTGTCGCCCCTATTTCCCCATGTCACGTTTATAGGTGTTAGCCTCCAATCGCCAGCCCAAACCATCTTGACCGTCTCCTCCTCCCAAAACTCCTGTTGCTATCACCCCTATTTACCCTTCTCGCGTTGCGCCTCCAAGCGCCAGCCCAAACTCATCTCCTCCTCCAAGTGCTGCCATTGCTGTCACCCCTAGTTACTATTTACCGTTGTCACCTTGCGCCTCCAAGCGTCAGCCCAAACCGGTCTCCTCCTCCAACTGCTGCTGTTGCTGTCACCCTTCTTTAGGCGCTAGCCTCCCTCGTCTCCTGTGTGGAATGGGGGGCAAGCGTGGGCCTTTCGGGCCTGCGTGGACACCCCGGCGGGGGTGCGGCGGAGGGCCAGGAGGGGTCAGCGCCGTCGCCGCTGCCGGCCGCCGAGGGCCTCGTCTGCCTCGGTTCGGGTTTCGACAGGCTTGGCAGGCCGCTGGTCGTCGTAAGGCTCGGGGGCCTTACCCACTCGCTGGTGGAGGCGTGCGGGAAGAAAGCGTTGCTGAGGTGCGAGCTGTTCTGTGTTAGGAGTGTCCCCTTTGGCCGAGTTGGCTGATCTCCCGGTTAGTTCCTTGTCTTTGTGATACGATATTTTCGCGTTTGGAGGATATTTCTTTCCTGGGTCAATTTTATTTTACGTTTCTTTGGTTTTGTAGAAAGCTGCACCACGTGTTTGGGTAAAATGTACATAAGTCTGTGACCACGGAAGACGTCTGAGTCAGTTGGACCAGTACGGATATTGGAAGGTACTGAGCGGAGACCGAAACGGTTTTTTATGTCAAGACAACATTGCAGCAACCACAACAACAACAACAACAACCCGCAAGAGGCGGAGAGATGGCACCCCCGGGAGACCTACTTTCAAAGGTCGATTCGATTGCTCCACTACCAAGCGGGGTGCAGAATATGCCCGACACGTCGACGGAAAGGCCTCGACGAGATGTTTCCAAAGCTACCATTGTGTCGGCACGATCTTGGATGTGGGCAATCAAGATTTAAAAATCGGCCTACGGGGGATGTACTATAATCTCTCTCTCTCTCTCTCCGCCTGTTGGCGGGATGTGCCTTACGGCGTGGCTACTGCTAGGGCGGTCACCTGCTGGAACACACAATAAACGAGTGGTTTTTTCTTGTTTGGGTGTTTTTCGTAGGGGACGGGGGAGAGGGGGGAGAAGGGCACACTTTTCTTGGCCGCCTTTCTCGTGGAGTGTGTGTTGGTGAACGTTGACGGGGGGGGTGGGGGTGGGGGTGAGGGGGCGTGCGGGAGGTTGGCCAGTATGACCGTTTTTGATGCCGTCCTGGTGATCTTGCGTGGCCCCTTGGGGTTTCACTGAAATTCAATTTCAGCGGCGATGCTGACGCGCGAGTGTTCTTTTCCGTGCCCGCTGGATCATGTTACACCACGCAGGGTACGCAAAAATACACCTCGGAACCAGCAGCAGAAGCAATCGCATGGTTCAACACCACCTACAGCATGATCCGGGAGTTTCAAGTCTTATTCCCCGCACAACCCAGAGCAGAGCAGACCATGTGACACGTTTAGAAGTCTTAATGTTAACAGCGCGCGCGGCGGTGAGGTGCTGTTCCAGCTTGCCCGCGCGGCATGTTTTGACCGAGACGACTACCCCGCCGTGGAGGCGCTCTCAAACCCTGCTCGACGGTCCCGGAACTATATTTGGTTCGTTTTCTTTTTGTCAATAGTCAGGCGCCGGGGTCTTGTTCAGCGCAAAACATGAATTTATGTGGGCGAGGTGAACCGATACTTATCGAGTTTTCTTGGAGGCGTCGTGCTCTACATATGCACACCACGGTTGATATTGGGTCACGGTTGATAATGGGTCCCCTCCTACCTTCGTCAGGTACTTCATCTGGAGCGTGGAGCGGGTGCTCGAACGGGTCGCCTCGTCCATGCTCTCGACGCAGTTCATCATCGAAGGGAGCACCGTTGTTTGCGACGCCAGGGGCTGGGACCAGGACAACGTGAGAGAATGCGAGAGAAACAGAGAGAGAGAGAGAGAGAGAGAGAGAGAGAGAGAGAGAGAGAGAGAGAGAGAGAGAGAGCGGGGGGGGGGGGGAGAGAGAGGGATAGAGGGAGAGGGAGAGGGAGAGGGACAGAGAAACAGACAAACAAACAAGAGAGACGGAGAGTGTGAGAGAGACATACAGAGCGAGAGAGACAGACAGAAACAGAGAGTGTGTGAGAGACACAGAGACATTTTTAGTCCTCGTTTACTCCCCACCGCCACCCCTCGTGTGTTGTGTGGGCATGCGAAACAGCATCATCGGCAGACGCCGGGGTGTAAGAGCAGGGCAGCGGGGCAACCGTTTTGTCAGCTGCCACCACTTCAAAAGAAAGGCCAGTTTGTTTTGTACGGCCGGATGCCGTCACAAAGTCGAATCCTCTTGCGAAGACGAGGGCGAAGCGATGCGGATGTTTACGTTTTGCCAGACCGCTGGAGTCGGGAAAACCGAGGTCTGCAGTTGTTGGGTCTCCCATCTCTCCTTGATGGTGGATCGGAGGAGAAAGTGTAGCGTGCTGCTGCTGTACTGCGTCTGTCGTCAAAGGACGTCTGACACGCACGTCGTGTGGCCTCTAGCGGCGATTTAGCTCACGAAGAGATCACCGCTATGCTCTACCCGAGCGCCCGCTGCCACAGCGCTACTGGCAGAGCGCGGCAAGACTATGCAATGGCGCTGGCAGTTCTGAACATGATTAGCGTGCCCTCCAATGAGCAACAGGCCAGACTCTTACTCTGTGGATAGTTGACTTGTTGTGTGAGCGGCGCTTGGCGTCCTCCCCCCCCCCCCTTCCCCCCTATCTGCTTCTCTCCCCCCCCTCTCCTGAAGAACCTGTTGCCGGCTGTCGACCTAAGCAACCTCTCGCACTAACCCCCTCCTCCAACCAACCACCAGACC